TATTTAAATCAATTAATATATCTACATTTGTAATTTTCTTAATCTGTGACCCGTTGACCCGACGGGTCGGGTCGGGTTGAACCACTGACCCGACTCGTTCGGAGCTCTAATTTTTTATGTGTGCTCAACTATGTGTTTATTATAATTTGTAACACCATAGCTGCCCATAATATAATGTTTTATTGTATTATGTAATTAACTGTAAAATATATAAATTTGGAAATAAATAAATAAATAACAAGATTTTATATTTTAACTAACTTATTCAGCTAATTCATATGGTATGGTTAATTCAATCTGTTGAGAAACTAAAAAAATATTTATCACAAAAATGGATAAGTATTATAAATTTTAAAAATGAAATAATCAATAATTAATAATTACCATAGTTATCATCAACAATTGTTACTTTGTTGGAATTCACAGGTTGGGGAAGGTTTTCAAAATTTAATAATCTGCTAGTATAAACTGCATTTGGATGAATTATTGGAGTAATTGTTGAAAGATCAAATTTTATTTTATTCATTTCATCAAACTCTTTTCTAATTGATTTTAATTCATCCTGTTGTTCTTTTGAATATCTATAAATTTTAAAATTATTTATTATTTCATCATTAAATGAATTATACCAAAGATCTATAATATTATAAATTTCATCAGCAGTTGGACGTTTATCTGGATTAGCATCCATGCATCTGAATGCTAGATCAATATAGAATTTTGGTGTGTTGTTTGAAAATCCAGGTCTTACACCATCACATATTCTCATTGCAAGTTCTAGATCATGTGCCAAATTTTTAAAAGGTTGTTGGCCAGTTGATACTACAGACATCAGAACTCCAAAACTATATATATCTGATTCTGCTGTATATGGTTTCTTTTTTAAGACTTCTGGTGCAATATATGGTAGTACTCCAATTATATCATTTTTGTTTGATGATAATATTTGACTAGCTGGGCATGATAATCCTAAATCTGTAATATACACACTACGAGAATAAAGAATATTACCACTATGAAGATCACGATGAACAATTTCTTCTTTATGAATTTTTTTTAAACCTTTAATAATATCATGAAGAATTCCAATCTTTTTACGCCAATTTAAATTTTTAAAATCTTTTGTTAAATAATTTTGAAGACTTCCATCTTCTATATAATCCATTACAAATATATATTCTTTTGTAATTGGGTCTTGTGCTAATCCATAAATTTTAACTATTTCTACTTTATCATGAAACTTTGTATAATTTTTGAACTAAAATAACAAATAAAATATTTAATTACAAGAATAATAATAATATTTTAAAAAATATGAAACTGATAATAATAAAATAATTTACCTCATTAAGAAATTCATCAGAAATATTATGTGAATTATCTAATTTTTTTAATACCACGATCCTATCCTCAGTAGTTCTTTCACCATTAACATTTGTTATTTTCATGCCATTTAACCAAGTAGCTCTGTATATAGTTGCAAACCCACCTTCACCTATCCTTTCAATGTTTGTTAGATCATTATAAGGAATCCATTGAAGATGATTATAATTATTATACTTAGTTGCTTTAAGTTGTGTACTTTTAATCAACTCATCTAATTTTTCATTACCACTAGTCCATCCTTCAGTTAATAGTTTTGGATCACATGATTGACACCATGATTCATCAGTATTATATCTATTGCAAGTTGGACATTCTCCATAATAATTATATCGAATATATGGATCTTCGTCATCATTTTTGTTGTCAGTAGAAACACCATTGTGATACTTATTGGTTGCTTTGTTGAAAAAATTCACCAACATCTTTTTGCTCTCATTTAAAGTGTTTTTCATTTTTAAAAATTATTTGTATTTTTTTTTATATAATTTCAAAAAAAAAATTTTTATTTTTCTATTTTAGCCACAATTGTATATCACATGAACACAATATTTTAGATTTTAGTCAAGTTCTTCCTTCAACATTGACAATTAATTTACATTGATAATTAACTATATATTTGCTTTTTGTATGTTTACTCAAAAGATTAAAATTTTGGGCATGGTAAAAAAATCTTTTTTTTTCTTCATCATAATGCTTATATGAATTAAAACAAATAGAATGTCTAATTTTGACCTCGTGGCGCAGCAACGGAAAGTTGTCCTCCATATAATTTTTTTAATATATTTATATTAATATTGTATATGCAAATACAAGTTTGGAAATAAATAAACAATTGAAGATTTTATATTTTAATTAACCTTATTCAGGTAATTCATCTGGTATGGTTAGTTCAATCTGTTGAGTTTCTAAAATAATATTTATCACAAAAGTGGATATTATAAGTATTAATAAATTTAAAATTAATAAAAATGAAATAATCAATGATTAATAATTACCATAGTTATCATCAATAATTGTTACTTTGTTGGAATTCACAGGTTGGGGAAGGTTTTCAAATTTTAATAATCTGCTAGTATAAACTGCATTTGGATGAATTACTGGAGTAATTGTTGAAGGATCAAATTTTATTTCATCCATTTTATCAAATATTTTTCTGATTGATTCTAATTCATCCTTCTGTTCTTTTGAATATCTATAAATTTTAGGATTATTTATTACTTCATTTTTAAATGAGTCATTCCAAAAATCCATAATATTATAAACTTCATTAGCAGTTGGACGTTTATCTGGATTAGCATCCATGCATCTGAATGCTAGTTCAATATAGAATTTTGGTGTGTTGTTTGAAAATCCAGGTCTTACACCATCACATATTCTCATTACAAGATCTATATCATGTGCCAAATCATTAAAAGGTTGTTGGCCGGTAGATACTACAGACATCAGAACTCCAAAACTGTATATATCTGATGCCATTGTATATGGTTTCTTCCTTAAAACTTCTGGTGCAACATATGGTAGTACTCCAAATATACCATCTTTGTTTGGTGAAGATGTTTGACTAGCTGGGTATGATAATCCTAAATCTGTAATATGTGAAAAATAACCTTGAAGAATATTACCACTATGAAAATCACGATGAACAATTTCTTCTTTATGAATGTCTTTTAAACCTTTAATAATTTCTCTAAGAATTCCAATCTTTTTCTGCCATTTTAAATTTTTAAATTCTTTTGTTAAATAATTTTGAAGGCTTCCATCTTTTATATATTCCATTACAAATACATATTCTTTTGTAATTAGATCTTGTGCTAATCCATAAATATGAACTATTTCTATTTTATTTTGAAGCTTTGTATAATTTTTAAACTAAAATAACAAATAAAATATTTAATTACAACAATAAATAACACCTGAAATTGATAATAATAAAATAATTTACCTCATTAAGAAATTCATCAGAAATATTTTGAGAATTATCTAATTTTTTTAATACCACAGTCCTATCCTCAATAGTTCTTTCACCATGATTATATGTATCTTTCATACCATTTAACCAAGTAGCTTTGTATATAGTTGCAAATCCACCTTCACATATCCTTTCAATATTTGTTAAATCATTATAAGGAATCCATTGAAGATGATAATGATTATCATACTTAGTTGCTTTAAGTTGTGTACTTTTAATCAACTCATCTAATGTTTCATTGCCACTAGTCCATCCTTCAGTTAATAGTTTTGGATCACATGATTGACACCATGAATAACGAGTATTATATCTATTGCAGGTTGGACATTCCCCAAAATCTTTATATCTTTCCTTTGAATATTTATCATCATGATGTTTATTTTCGTCCAAAGTGTTTTCCATTTTTAAAATTATTTGTAATTTTTTATTATATTGTCAAAAAAAATTTTTTTCTAAAGAACTTTTTTTCCGCCACAAACATGTATCACAAAAATATTATTTAAAAAAAAAAATTAATATTAATTCAGCATTACATAAATAAATTCGACGTAACATTCTAAAAGTCGTAAAAGCCTTAGACCGCAAAATCATGATGCCATAATTATTTAAATTATTATGGCCTATAAATATTGCAAGCATGCGATTCTGAGTTATTTATTATGGAGTCACCAAATTTGGAATTCATTTTCATTTTCTAATTGTTTTTTGTTTTCATTGACTGATAACTTTTTTTATTTTCTCCGTCAGAAATAGAAGCAGTTTGGAAAAGCAAAATGAGCAATACTAACCATTTCATTGCAACTTTTTAAGTACTAATTCTCTTCTGTCTTTGCTGTTAACTTCCCCACACATTATACCCCCTCTTAATTTCGTCCTCATTTATATCCCACATCCGAACAGTTAATATACTCATTTATATATCCCCACAAAATTTAAAAAACAAAATATTTATTTTTTAAAAAAATTAAGTAGTATATAACAAATTTGTATTTTTTGACACAACAACATTCCTTTTTGTGGTATCTTAAAATTTGATTTTTTAACATATTAATATTATAAATGCTTTATTGTGTTTCTCTTGGGAATTTGGTATCACAATTCTTTAATTTTTCCTACAGTAAAAATATTGAGTGTAATATAAATGATTGGAATAAAAAGTAAGTCCAAAATGCTCCTTTACATATAGTGAATTTTAATGCGTTTTTTCCTTTGTTAAAATGAATTTTTAATCCAGTTAAAACTTTATGTTACCCATCCTCATCATCCTCATTATTGATCCTTTGATTTGGGACTTTGAATAATGAATTAGCTTCAAAAACACAACAATACAATCAACACCAAAAAGAATTTATTGACTTTTATTTCAAAAGTGAAATTTGGTATTGTCCATTTTGTATTTAACATTTGACCTTGAGATGATTTTAACTTTTGACATCAAGAAAATTATGTATTAAATTAATTATTCAAATATAAAAATGTAAAAGAAATTAATCAAATTTATTTCAAACTCTTTAGAAATAATAATAAAAATAAACAAATAAATTATCAATAATGAAGGTAATGAAATAATTAATAAATGGTGAAAATAATAAATTATCTACCATCAGACAATACACCCAATTTTCCAACTTTAACCTTATCAACTACTTATTATTATCATCATTATAATTAATTAACTATTTAATTAATTTCCTTATTTCATTAATATCAAGGTCACTTAATAAACTATCATTGCTTTTTAAATTTTTTAAATTCAATTTAGCAAATTCATCATTTACATCATTTAATATTCGACTTTTATCATTTACTTTATCAATGTTTTATGTTGAAAGAGAAAAAGAGAAAGAGTAAAACAAATTATTCACTGAATTGAAATATATGATCATTTTAGTCAAATGTAAACGATTTTTATCATTTATTTTTATCCATATGCGCTGATTTTGTTTGAACCTCAAAATCCAGTACGGTATGATCATAACGTTATGAATCTTTATACTAGCAAAATCCCATTGGTTTTAAGGTGGGGCCATTGGTTTGACGGGTTGATGGATAGTAAATTAGTTTTTTAGCGGAGCAAATAATTTTTTTTAGGGTAATTATCATTCTACCGAACAGTTTACACATTAAAAATACGGTTTGAAAAAAGGCCCAAAAAACCATATCGGCTGATATGCAATGCTTCATGGTCCAAAGTAATAAATTTTTGAATATAAATGAGATGTAATGTTATTAAAAAAATCTAAATCAAATATCCTAATTATTACTATTTAAATTTCTGATTTAAGCATTTTCCTACTATATTGTTAAAATCAAACTTCTTAAACACTTTAAAATTGATTTTTAATATAAATAATTTAATTGCCTTAATATTGGCAGACCTAACAAAAGACAAGCTAAAATGCAAAACTAGCCAAATATAAAAGAAGCAGTGATCCGGTTTTGCTAGCAATAAACTTCCGGCCTTGATTAAGTAGTTTTCGGGAAAACAACATTGTCAGTGGAATTGAAATGAATGAAGATCTGAGTTTTGAACCGGGTCTGGAATTGAAGTCAAAGTCGAGTTCGAATCTGATTCAAGTTCTAATTATAATTCCTGGGAGGATATGGTATGAATAAGTTTGAAAAATTTACCATTGTGTATGACACTTCAACAAAAATAGGACCTATTTTTATTCAGTAAAGACACAACAACGACATGCCAAGGCGTTGAGAGAAGCTGCAGTTGGATTTTCCAAAATCACCAATTTTTTTAATGTTAAAACCCCCAGTGGAGATCCATCTGAAAGTAATGATGAAGATGACTGGGAAAATCCAATAAGTTAGTTGAAAAGGCTCTTGAAACTCCCAATTTAGCCAATGATGCAATGTCTAGATTAATATATACTTTAGACATTTAGATGATGATAGAAAAAAGGTTGATGCGAGTGAATTGGTGGCAGTGTCTCTAGGGAGGGAAAAAGTTTATAAAGAGAGATGTATTAGAGCTTGGGCTAAACAATGGATCCAAAATAAAACATTAACTGAACCAAAAAGAGGAAAGCACTCAAATACGAAGTGTCTTTGGAATGTTACTGCTCAAATAGTGAGCCACGCATAATCTAATAAATTTGACATGACGTACAGAAGCGTCTCAGCATTCTGCTCTTCTTTTACTTTGATATGTTCTTTGACTTGATGTGAAGATTATCAAGCTTCGATGTTTTCCCTCGAAGTAAACATTGCTGTCGTTCTTATCAAGATCACATTTCGCTCTAACAATTACTAATAATGGTGGGGGCTTACTATTTTTCTATTAACGTTGATTCCAGTTCTAACGCTTTCCAATTTCATAAGACTTTTTCGATGATTTTGATGAAAAAAAGAGAAGTCTGGACGAATAAAAATAAATACATAAATACATACAAGCCATTGTAATTTTGATTTTTTTTATTAAATATTATTGTTATATATACTATTAATTTCACAAGTGCAGTGTCTCTCTGAAATACTTTTATTTATAAAGAAAAAAGTAAAGACGGCCAAACTATGCTATGTTGGCAAACGAAATCGATGGATAAAATGTGCAGGAGTGAAAATTGTTGTATATAGCATTTGGGTAAAATACTACCTATTTTTATGATGTTAATTTTTTATATTATTAACTATATCAAAAATTTTTTTTTACATTTTATAATCACAACCATGCTCCATTCTCATCAAGGACATGCTGCCGGTCCAGTAAAGCAACTGATGTGGGAGTTAAGGAAAAGATGTAGAGTAAAACCAGCAGAATATGCACCAAATTTGAAGAGTTATTCAGTAAACCTCAACGGTTTTGGTGCTCCGGGGCCATGATATTAATACTACCCGAAATGCAAGGAACATATTTTTATACATATAATGAAGTCTTTATCAGGAAGGAGAGAACTTAAATTGGCTACTATTGTATGTAACTGTGGCCAGAAAATCTACAAAAGCGAATATTTATTTCTATTTTAGGATATCATTATTACTATGATAATCTTTGATTTATAATAATCGTGTGAACTAATTGAAATTTCCAACTTTAAAAAAAAAATGTTTTCGTTTTCGTTAAAAGAAACCATTTCAGCGTTCGCAACAATATCATTTATATCAATAATTTTTTCATCATTAAAATATTATTATAAATATTTTACTCGTTCAAATCCTTACAAGGGTCCTTTTCCTTTACCATTATTAGGAAACTTGCATCAATTTTTTTATCATCGTCATGATGTTTCATCATGGCTTGATTCATTACATTTGAAATATGGTGATGTATTTGAAATTTACCTTGGACCTGATAGACAATTGATCATTAACAATTTACAAATCACTGAACGTGTTTTGAGTCCATTGAGAAATAGTAATTACATAATGCGTTCGACACCTAATAAAGGACTAGACGAATTAGGAAAAAGCAACCAAGGAATTGTTGTAAATAGAGACATTAACAAATGGGCTCATAATAGAAAAATACTTATTAGAGCTATAATGGCTCCAAATGCATTAAAGTTTTCAGCTGATCTTGTAAATCGTGTTTTTAAAGATTTAGAAACTTATTGGGATTCTTTAATTAATGAAATGGGAGAATCTATTACAAGTAAGGGAATTCATCAAAAAAAAGTATTGGAAATTGATCTTGTGCCTTGGATCAAAAGGGTCTTCACCGAAAATATAATGTTATTAGCAACAAACAGGCAAACTAATATGTTATTGAATTATTACAAAATCAGTAAAAAAGAAAAGGATTTCAATATAGTTAAAACTGCAGAGGATGAATATTTACATAATTTAGATTTTGTACAAGATTGTGTTAGATATTATGCAACATTTCCTTTGTTTATACGTAATTTGCCATTGATAAAGATTTATTCAAATTATCTATTAAACAAATTTTTATCAACAAGAAAGTATATTATCAATTTAATCAAAGAATCTAGAGAGAAAATTGAAAATATTAGCGATAAAGAAAACCTGACACCTGATATGGTGAATATGTTATTAACTATTAATACTCCAAAAGATATTACTCAAGGCATTGCAAATGATTTAAATGATAAACCAATGTCTGATGTAGAAATTATCAATGTTATTTCTGAAACATTCCTTGCGGGAATTCAGACTGTGTGTATATTTATTTACTTATTTATGTTTGTTTGTTTACTTATTCACGCATGTATTTAGTGATATATTAATTAATTAATTTAATAACCAAATTTTTCTCTTTCATGAATAAGTCATCTGATGCTTTTTCATTTGTTATATATTATGTATCTAGTCATCCCGAGGTTGAACAAAATATTCTTAAAGAAATTGAACAGGTAGTTGGAGATAAATCTAATTTAGATTATGAAGATTTAAAAAAAATGGAATACATTGAAGCTGTAATAAAAGAAGGTTGATATTATTTTGTTAATTTATAAATCACGATTATTATTATTATGGTTCACACATAATTAATATATTTATATTGTTAGTTTTACGTATTAGACCTATCGGAACATCAATTGGCCGTGAAGCAACAAATTTTGATCAAATAGGTGACTATAAAATTCCAGGTTCAACACTAACGGTTATAAATGTCAAAAGTTTACACATGAATCCAAATTATTGGAATGAACCAACTAAATTCAATCCTTCGAGATTCTTAAAAAACAAAAATCATGACAACAATAGTGAAGATTCCTTTATCAAAAATACATTTTTACCTTTTGGTGGTGGATTACGTATATGTCCAGGAAGGCATTTAGCAATGAATCAACTCAAATTACTGGTTGCTTTATTCTATAAAAAATATGAATTTGAATTGGTAAATGATAAACTTATATATAGAAATTCTATTATTAATGGTAATCAATGCGGTGAATTAAAGGTTAAATTATCACATAGAAATTAAATTTCAAAAAATCGTTTATCAAGCTTGTTACAGTAAAAAATCTTATTATAGTGGGCTTTTTTTGTTTTTTTTTTTTATTTTTTTTTTATATATATATAACACTTTATAATTAACTGTCTCTCGTTAGAGTGGAAAAAAAATAAAAACTAGATATGAAACCAAGAATCCACTGTAACGAGCCTTAACTGTATTTTGAACATTATAATAAATACAAAATATTATAAAAAATGGTTAAAAAGTCAACAGTGCCGCTACTAAAGATGGAAACCGCAATTAATTGAGGAGCCATCTTTAGCCGCTAATAACATTAACATTAATGTTTCTGAATCTTTTGGTGATCAAAAGTGTAACAACTTTTCAATTTCTTCAGTGTATTTTGATTGCTAGTGAATTTGTTACTCGTTTTATTTAAAAATAAATGATAAATTCAACAGAAAAAATCGCTGGCAAAGGTAAGCATTTTTTTTTTTTTGATATAAAGATGTTATTTATTGTGTTCAATAATGGTTGAGGATTTGTAGCTTGACTGTTTTTACCTGAGAATGGGTGATGAGTTTGGTTTTGTCGCAGCCCCTAATTGTTAAAAATGCTATCAAATTTTTTATAAAAACAAAAATTATACGTTATTGACGTTGTTTATGATATGGTTCTGTCAAAGAATTTTTTTTTAACTTGACGGCAACTTTACTGCAGTGAAGTCTGATTAATTTTATCAATTAATATTAATGTATATTGATTTAGATATAATTAAAATTCTTTTTATTAAATTAAAATAATTATTAAAATTAAAATATTTACAAAATGTTATTTTATTCTATCGAGGTTTACCATTAACAATTTTTATGAAATTTTTAACATATGATAAATCTTCGAAATTGATTAAATAACAACCTCTCACATTTAATCTTTTCAATATTTCATCACCAACACCACAATTACCGTCTCTCTTTTTATTTTCAATATAATCAATAATAGCCTGCAAATGTGCACTAGAAAAGTCTTTACAACTAGCAAATCCCAAGTATTTCAATTCACCTTTACAATTGGCTAGAAATTGTTTTAAACAATCAGGTGAAAATGATAAAACATTTCTAACTTTAAATGTTTTTATTGTGGTTGGTAAAGATTTACCAATTTCTGGCAGATATTCGCTGAACAAATTATCACCATTAGTATTTTTTGTATTTGTTGTATTTGTTGCCAATGAAGATATTATTGGTTTCTCAACCCAAATATGATTTAACGAACGTCCATTTGTGCGTATTTTTTTTATATCATTAATAGCGACCTTTTCTAAATTCTTACTTGCTTTAAGGAATTCAATCAAATCCATCACTTGTTGTTGTTGTTTAAAGTTGATTGTCCCAGAAAAATATTTTAAATTTCGACAATAACTTGTTAAAAGTGTTAAATAATTGGAACAATTTGAAATTGTTTGTTCACCTAAAAATTTTACGTTTATTAAATTTTTAGATTTTGAGAAAATGATTTCGGGTAATTCCATGGGAATTAAGCAACTATTTATAATCAATGTATCTAGTTTACTAAATGAACTACTACTACTACTACTACTATTGTTATTATTATTACTATAATCATAGTAGTCGTTATCGCTAGTAATATTTCCAAAATTTATACACCTCTCCAATTTCAAATATTTTAATCCCTTCAACGAAATAAATAATTTAAATGGAAATTCACTTTGAAAATCGACATTTTCCAATGTAAGAATTGCCAACGATTCAAATTGGGTGTTGATCAATGATTGAAAAATATTTTTGAATCCAAGTGGCTTTGATCTACTACATTTTATCAACAAATTTTCCAATGATTTTTGCGACTCTATCAATTTGCTTAAATCCTGAAATGTTGTGGCAAAGTAATTTGAGTTGGCGAGGATGAATTGAATTTCTTTGAGATTGCAAAGAATTTGTGAAGCAGTCGACAACAATCCATCGACATATTCGCCATGAGTTATTAATGTTTTGATTTTCGTAAGATTCGTTTTGGCATTGGGATACAAAAATATATTTAGCTCTTCTTCTTCAATTGGTGACGTCGAACGTTGTTGTATCGTATAATTATTATTCATATCAAGAATTATTGTACGAATATTTAAACTGTGATTTATAAAATATTCATAAAGTGATCTTGTTAATTTGCGAGAAATTTCTTCAATCTCATTTTCAATCTCATTTTCAGATTGATTCCCAATCGCATATTTAATATTTTCCTTGATCCAATATCTTGAATCGGTTTCAATTCTCGATAAATCAAAGATTTGTAAATATTGAATATAATTATAAAAAGGTTTATTATGATGATTTTCGAGGGGTAATAATTTTATGGATTTTTTATAAGTTAAAGGAGGCAGAAATGGTATTATTGAATTTATGCAGGATTCTTTAAAAATTATTCTTGATGGATAAAAAGGATGTCTCCATAACTTGGGTATAACAAGGACATACCATTGTTTGTTAACCATCGCACAATTACCAAGACTCCCAAGTGATCCATCTTTATACAGGATTTCAAATATTTCACCTAAACATAATACCGGGAAATTATTTAATGACATTTTTTATTTATTGATTTTTAAAAAAAAAAAAGATAGAAAACTTAAAAAATTTTAATTTAAATTAATTGAAATAAAAAAAATAAAAACCTAAATTAGACAAATTTATTAAACTATTTATACAAAAAAAAATTTCTTCCATCATTTATAAATATGTTATTATTTATATTTATTTATATTTACAAAGTTACATTGCGTGACATGATAAGATTGTAGATCTATAAATAATAATGGTTTGTTCCTTTACAATATATACAGTATATTACATTACATTCGTTGATTTTTCTCTTTTCTAAAAATCCTAATTTTTGTTTCATCGCTAATATTAGTATTAAAACCCCGCAAATATCAGATTATCCATTTATATATATATGAATATATAAAAATTTCTATAAATGATCTACAATTTAATTAATTTTGGTTATTGTTTGTAGCAGATAGATGATCTTGATGATTATGCATTTCTCTTATCTATTACCAACTGTGCAACAACAAACAATATTTTAAATAAATAAATATGTTCAAGGATGAATTTTTTGTTAATATTATTCATCTATCCTCTTCCGTTTTCATATTCTAGAATTTATTTTTGATTATAGATTGAATTGAAGGAATGATTGAAATGGAATGAATGACTGGAATGACTGGAATGACTGGAAGGAATAACAACATTCAGATTGTACATGTGGGCGAAACCCGTGACAATTAATTATCACGTGGTGTCAGCCAATCAATTGCAATTTTGTTCATAATTGTATCATATATTAATCATGTGATAATTAAGTGTCACGGTTTTCGCCTACATGTATAATATTGATATGGTAATTTCTGAGTTCACATAATTTCACAGGCACAAACGGTATTTGCATTATCTTTTTTTCTTTTTTATGATCTCCGTATTATTTACTGCGTTGATAGTGTGAGAATATATAGTTACTGATAAGAGTTTGTTGTACGAAATTCATAAATTACAAATTACAAATTTTATTTTTATTTTACAGGACGGTACAAGCAAGTCACGACTTTCACCAATTTCCGAGAAAAAAAATTTCCTCAAAAATGCAATAAAAATTGTTTGGTCATATATTTCCTATATAAGTCGTTTCATAAATAGTAAAATCATACCATTTGTTATCTAGCACTAGTTAACATTAACAATAGAAATGAAATGTATTTCCATGAAATATATTTTTAAATGCTTGGGTGAAAAGTATATATATATAAAAAGAGTTCATCTGGGCAATTCGCGTGATAAAAGATCTGTAACAATTCAAATTTTTATTTGTTTTAATTTCGTTTCATATATTAACTTTTCTGCATGTAACGCGCTAATTTTAGGGTGAGCATAGTAAATTCGGTAATTTGTGCAACTTTGAGACTCAAAATGAAAATTACGATTTATTTTTTGGTGTTACATTTCCATTTTGAATGACTTCATAGAAGCTCCACAAACTTCTGTTGCTTCTGTTACTCCATTACAAGATTATTTTTCATTTTAAATCTTGTCATATATATTTATCAAACAAATTAAAAAAAAAATCATTAGAGAACAAAACTAATTTCTTATTATATAATTAACAAGTAAAAGATTACAAGAGAAATGGATAAATTTGATTTTTTTGCTGCTATTCCTTCTATTCCTTCTAATATTTCAATTCCCACAATCCCATCAATACCGGGAATACAATCAATACCAGGTCTAAATACTTTAACTAGGAAATCTATATCAGCAACAAAAAATGACGATTTATCAATATTATTGGCGCAAAAACAAAAATCTATATTACCACCTGATATACTGATTCGCATATTGAAACATTTACCAATAACTTCTCTCCCGAATTTTGCACTTGTTTCACGTCGATTCAAAGTGTTGGTTTATGATGATGAATTATGGGAACAACATTTGAAAACCTTGGGTGCTTGGAATAATTATAATAAAATTGTTGTTGATGGTATAATGAGTGAATCTTTATATTTTAATCTTGCAAATAGTAGTAATGGTAATGGTAATAGCAATGGTAATAATGATAATACTCCAAGTAATAATAGTAGTAATAATAGTAGCAGTAATAATAATAGTAATAATGACATTGTTGGTAATGGTAGTAATATTGGAAACAAATGTAATGAAGCATTGTTGATTGATTTTGATTCGCCAATTCCACAAGAACAACCTTCATCCATAACATCAAATACTACGACCAACTCCTCAGGAAATTTAATAGATTTTGCAAGATCCAAGAACAACAATAATCACAGTAACAATCACAAAAACAACAACAGCAATAATAATTTCAACATCAATAAAACGTCAATTCCTGGACTTTCCTCTGATTCTTTTTCACAAAAATCTCGTGCTTCATCAACTGGTATTGCGAGAGAAGAATTTAAGAAAATATATTTAGAATTAATTCCATACTATATCGACTTTAGACATAAAAGAAAAGATAGTAGATTGTTTAAAGAGTATTTTGATCAAAGAAATCAAGCTAAAATGTTGGCTAAGATAAATAATTTTGGTAAAATAAATATCACTTCAGATTCTGATAAGGTACGAAATTTACTTATTATGATTGTGGTTTTGGTAATTATAATAATTATACTGTTATTAATAAATATCGGTATAATTATTTTTATAAAAAGATTAATAGTGCATTGGAAACTGTAATCGAATATTTTGAAAATTCAGCTTTACATCATTTTGAGTTAGCATATGATTCTCACAATATATCAGAAATGCAGGTAAACAAACTCAATATTTAATGAAATAAAAAGTGTGTATAAATGATAACAATAATTACTAAAAGTATTTTTATTTGCCATGATTATTAAGAAATGGGCTCATATTTTATTGGATTTGAATGGAGGAAATTCTTGTATTCAAGTATTTATACAAAAGAATTCAATATTTTTTGATCACCTATATAATCCAGAAGAAAATTTCATGTATGTGAAGCGCAATAAAATTTTTTTGATTTTTTTTTTTTTTAAGTATTGTTATTTTCTTGAACTTGTATTTATCAATCTTTTTATTATAATCTAGAAACATATCCTCGTCATCGCCACCAAAATCACCAACAACATTATCAACAACGTCAGATTTATCATATCAACCATTGAAAGAATTTTTCATTTATATAGAAGAAGAATTAAAACGACAAGCAACTTTAATTGGACAAGTTTTTCCACATGATGCTGATGTCTTCTTCACTTTTACGGAACGTGTTGTTGAAGATGTTGTAAGTTTGCTATATACATGAAAAAATCAAGTTATCATTATTATTTATTAAAAACATTTATATTATTATTAATATCATTCATAAAACTAATATCATAGATCTCAGAATATATATCAACATTTTTAAAATTATCGCACGATCATGACATTTTATTATATTTGAAAAGTGTAGTGACAGCATACAATCGTTGTTTACATGTTTGCAAGTTAATTTGGCGAGATATAAAACCTGGATTAAGTAAAATAAGAGCAGAGGATTTGATATTTCAAATGTTTGAATCATTTATGGGCTCGTATTTGGAACAAGAATTAAATTATGTTGAGAAACAGAGTGACGACGAAATTGAAAAATGGAATCAAAAGGTAGGTAGGATATCCGATAGAAAGAGGGGGGAGAGAGAGATTAGATTAAATTAAATTTAAATTAAATTTATTTGTTTGTTTATTTATTTCCTCAACAAATAATAATCATAATGAAAAAGTAGTTGAATCAATCCGTTGATGCACAACAGCAAACACTTGTTGATAATTCAAATAGAGAAGTCTACAAACGTAATTTCTTATCATCATTTCGGAAAATTTTAAAAGTGCCAACAAATCGTTTACGGATTTCCATTAATTTTACCACCAACAATAATAATGGTAATAATGACAATATCAATAATAATGTATCAAGTACTACTACAACGAATTCCAACGCAGATAATTTCACACCATCATCATCGTCGTCGTCGTCGTCGTCTAATATAACAATCAATCAATTACCACAATTGTTGAGTTTGGAAACTGCATTAAATTTAATTCATATCAATAAAGATTCTTTAAGAAGAGTTGGTGGATTTATTGAATATCCTGATAAAATGGGTTATAAAATGTAATAATAATAATAGTAATAGTAATATTATTATTATTAAATATTATTATCATTTTTATTAATTAAACATTATTATTATAATTTAGAAATGACACTATAGAAATGGTATTTAATACTCTATTAAAAAAATTAGGTCCATTACATATGAAAACAGGTTTTGAAACGTAAGGATTTGTGCGTTAATGATAGTAATTATATTTATTATAAGAGTTATAATAGTTTTTTTAATATTTCAAAATAACTAACTTTAGTCATTTTTTTTTAAGTGCAATAAAACATCTTGGAGAGTATAAGTTAGATTCAGAATCTAAATCTCCACCATCGCCATCAACAACAATAATAAAAACAACAAATAATTTAACACCATTAGTAGAATTTTTTGAATTGGTTCATATTGCTGATTTAATACAACAAATGGTTCAAGTATATTATGATGAAGAAATGGCGAATGTAAGTTATATTTTTTAATTGATTAATTAAAATTTGATAGTTAATTATTATAATTAAATTTCATTGATTATTATCATTATTATTTTATAGAATAAATATGTTAACAAAGCAGATTTCTTAAATATTTGTAATAAAGAAAAGAAAATTTTCGAGAAAATTTTAGATGATTGTGTAGCTTCTGGTTTAAATAAAGGTATTCAGGTAAGCATTCAAAAAACTCTCGTATACGTTTGCACGATCTGTTGTGCATATTTTAAATAATTTTAGTTTTTTTAATAATAGGTATTAATTGATCAAGTAGAATTTATATTAATCACAGAACAATTGCCTGAAAATTTTAGACCAATTGATACACTGTTAGATTTAAAACCTACTAAAGTAATAAATTAAATTATAGTAATACATTTTTAGCTTATCATACCTTACATATCCTACGGTATTGATTAGTTAATATTTATTTAGGCATGTTTAGATGCAGTTGAGTGTTTATCCACATATACTAAATTAGTTTTGGGTTGTACGGATAAAAATACACTAGATGTGTTTTTTCAAGAAATTGGATTAAGACTGTTTGGGTGAGTTGTAAATAAATTCACATGCGTGCTGTGCGTGTGTTTTCATTTTTGCTGAATAGCATTTTTATTAAGTGTTATTTTTATTAATATTTTTAGAATCTTGATAAAACACTTAAAAAAATATACTGTAAATCTAAATGGTGGATTTCAAGTAATAAGGTAAAAATAAATAAATTGCTCTCATTCATAATATACATCGAAAAAAAAAATCTTTCCTTTATATATATATTTATTAAAATTCTCTCCTCTCCTTCATCCCTCCATTCATTTCTCCAAACACCCAGCGACTTAAACTATTATTGCTCGTTTATTTCAACTCTTAGACAACCAAACATTACACCATATTTTCTTGCATTAAAAGAATTAGGTAACATTTACATTATATCAACAGCTAAAGATATTGGATTATTTATTAGAGAGGCTGAGAGATTCAAGGGTGTTTTACATGCTGAAGATGTTTACGAATTTGTTCAGAAAAGGGAGGATTGGTTGATAATAAAGAAAGAGGTTGATAAAGAATTATACGGTTTGAAAGCTGAAGATTGTATTATTATGTAATATATTGTTTGTTTGTATTTTAAAATTATTTATTCATGTAATTTTCAAAAAATTTTTAAAAACAAAAAATGCTTTATTTTATATTGCAAATATGGTGATAGTAATGATCTTGAATGATTGAATGGTAAAATTAATGCCCTAAAGTTTCTTTGATTTTGGCTTCTAATATATACACATTTTCATGGCAAAACCATGCAATCAATTATGAAACTAACTGCTTGCAATACTTCAAAAATAACTTCATATGAATGTAATTTTTTTGGACAAAACAACTACTCACTAACTTGTAAAGATTTTGAAAATAGTCTAAAATGCAATTTTTTCGATCTTTCTCTGAAATATTTGTGCCTACGAGGTTCATCAATCTTTATCATCTTTTTAATTGATATAAGAAATCCAATTCAGTAATAAGTTTGGCTCGATTATGTAATGGTGACTAATATTAGTAATATCATAAGCAAAACTTATTGATTTTAAATTTTTCAAACTAATCAAAATCCAATGCAAAATATCAACTTCTTCAAATTCAATACATTTTAATTTAATACAATTATTGAATACTTCCATTAATTCTTGGTCTAATTCATTTCATCCTTGTAAATTATTGATAACTTTTCTAAACTTTTACTATATTGTGCAATTGATTGAAATAGCTTTTTAAAAACATATCTTTATATTGAAAACAATCAAACTTTCAGTTTTTTAAGAGTTCTTTCATTGATTTTAATAAATCAGACTAGTCTGATAAAAAAACAAATCCATAGATCAATATCTGGCAGTGAAATATTCTTCAGATTTTTCATAATGTCAGCAGCAACAAAACCAGACAAAGTGAACCAAAAAATTTCAGGGGTCGATAATGTTTTTTGACATCACTAGAATTACAGTACAATTAGAAGTATTTTAAAAAAGGAACAAGGCGAAAAAATTGCTCTTACATTTTCAAAATAATGATACTCGGACATTTGAAGCTTATCCCAAGAAAAGAAAGGATTACCTATGAAATATACCAAGAAGAAAGAAAAATCATAACTAATAAAAGAACATCAATGCAGAAACATGATGAAAGGAAAATCAGAAGAAAAATATATTATCATCTAACTCGGACTAATTTATTAGTATTGGCGAACATATGTATAATAACGATCAAAAAGGGCAATTACCAAATAACAACAATATCATTAATTAATTCCATTCTTTTTTCTTTTTTCTTTTTTCCTAACAGATAAGTCGAAATTCCCATCATTAACACTATTCATCCTACTAAAAAAACTCAATGTAAACAATTACTTGGTGGCTGTTCATTAGTAAATAAGTCTTTAATATATGGGTCATTTTTATTTTTAACTCTTTGTTTCTTTGCTCATATAATGTATCCAATTTCTCATGGCTCATTTTTTCTGTTTCACTATGTGAAGGTTGTTCCAGCTTAACTGACGAATTACTTGTAATAACAGGCGTTATTGTAGGTCCTGTATGATCAAAAATTCGAGATCTGGATTTTTTCTTTTTGCCGGTGTTTTTATAACCGGAATTTCTTTAGTTTGTGATTTAAGAAAGTTATTTGAATTCAGTGGTGATGGAGCATAGTGGACATTTGATTTCATTGGCTAATTTTTGTGATGATATCCCTTCGAAATATCACTCAAAAATCGAATCTTATTGGCTTGAATATCATTGCCAAAAAAAATTTTTAATAAATGCGTATAATATAATTCACATTTATATTTGTTAAACAAACCAATTTAAACTTACAAAATCAATTAATTTAATTAATTTCTATTAATTAAATGCATATTTCAAAATGAGATAAAAAACCACTGAAAAATTCAATTAGATTTTCATAA